AACTGAAAAATGCAGTATAAAATTTAAAAATTTGGCCAGGCGTGGTGGCACACGCCTTTAATCCAAGCACTCGGGAAGCAGAGGCAGGTGGTTCTCTGTGAGTTCGAGGCCAGCCTGGTCTACATAGTGAGTCCCAAGTCAGCGGGGGGCTACAGGGAGACCCTGTCTCAAAAAGACCAAAAAAAAATTAAAAATTTGAACATGCATCTTAGAGTTCTCATTACAAGGAGGAATTAGTGAATGTGAAGATAGATTCATAGACATACAAACTGACTTTTTTTTTTTTTTTGGTCTTTTTGAGACAGGGTCTCCCTGTAGCCCCAACTGGCCTGGAACTGGCTATGTAGACGTCAAACTCACTGAGATCCACCTGCCTCTACCTCCCAAGGGCTGGGATTAAAGGCATGCACCTCCACACCCGGCTACAAACTGACTTTTAAAAATGCTAATGTAGGGTCTGGGGAGATGGCTCAGTGGTTAAGAACACTGGCTGCTCTTGCAGAAGACTGGGATTCAAATCCCAGCACCCACATGGCAACTAACACCATCTGTAACTCCAGTTCCAGGGGATCCAACACCCTCTTCTGACTTTCAAGGGCATTGTATGACACAGGTGTACTTACATACATGCAGGCAATATACTCATACACATAAAATTAAAATAATTTAGTTCGAGGCCAGCCTGGTCTACATAGTGAGTCCCAGGACAGCTGGGGCTACAAGAAGACCCTGTCTCAATAAAGACAAAAAAAAACCAAAAAGCTAATGTATTATCAAGAACCTACCATTCAGATGAAGAATCTAACATCCCTGCAAATGGAGGTCAGATGAGGAAAGAGAAAGAATAGTGCATATAAGTGTTTGAAGAAATAATGGCCCCAGAGCTTCAAATGTGCTTTCAGACAAACCGAAGATTCAAGAAACAGTGAATGCCAAGTGAACACACAGTGCAAAGCACTGTTAGGTGCACAGTTAAAATACTGGAAGCCAACAGTAAGGAAGTCTTCAAACCCACAGAAGCCCAGTGAGGCAATGCCTGTCTGTAGTCAGCATATGGGAGGCCAAGTCAGCATATGGGAGGCCACGCTAGCCTGGGCTGTGTAGCAAGACTGCCTCAGCAACAACAGACCTGCAACAGAAAGCCTGTACATCCAGAAAACAGTGACGATGCTCACTGAATTCTTTTTTTGAGACAGGGTCTCCCTGTAGCCCTAGCTGGCCTGGAACTCACTATGTAGACCCGGTTGGCCTTGAACTCACACTCATTGAATTCTTATAAGAAAGAATTCAAAAGAAAAGATGTTTTTAAAGTGCCAAAAGAAAAAACTACCATTCTAAAAGCCAGCACATTCTCTTACAAATAAAAGTGTGGGCTGGCAAGATGATGACTCAGCGGGTAAAAAGGTTTGCCACATAGACTGGTGACCTGAGTTCAATCCCTGGTACTCTACAAAGTTGTTCTCTGACCTCTACATGCACACTGTGGCTTTCTCCATCCATTCATATATATCATACACATTAAATTTTTAATTTAAAAAATAAAAGCAAAAGCCTGGGCTATCGAAATGGCACCTGTGCTGGTAAAAGCACCTGTCGTGAATGCCTGAGAACCTGAGTTTGGTCCCCAGGAACTATGGTGGAAGGAGAGAACTGACTCCCAAGAGTTGTCCCCTGACTGCCACACAGGTGCTGTGGCATGCCTGTGCCTTCCCTCATACACAATACACAAACACACACAAATAATACATTTTTAAAACTTTTTTTTTTTTGGTCTTTTTGAGACAGGGTCTCCCTGTAGCCCCAGCTGGCCTGGAACTCGCTATGTAGACTAGGCTGGCCGTGAACTCACAGAGGCCTACCCACCTCTGCTTCCCAAGTGCTAGGATTAAAGGGGAGCACCACCATGCCTGGCTCCATTTTTTAAAACTTTTTTTAAAAAGCCCTTTCAAGTAAACAAAAGCTGAGAAAAATTTATTGCAAGGCCCATATAAATGCTAAAAAAATTCTTTTCATGAAGAAAAGTACGACCTGATCTGCAAGAAGGAAATGAATAACACAAATACCTTTAAAAGATAATTGACTGTTTTTTTTTTTTTTTTTTTGCCAAAGCTATAAAAGTCTTGATTCTCCAAATTTTCTGTAAGTTCAATGTCATGCCAGTAAAAGTTCCAGAAAGTATTATGAGAGTTTACAGGCTTATTCTAGAACTTAAATGGAAACTCAAAGGATCAGAAATAATCAATTTTTTGATTGAAAAACAACAAAGTTAAAGGGTTTACATGACTGAACTTCAGAAGATTGGACAGGGCTTCATAGTTAAAATAGAATCTTGTGGATGTGAAGACCCAAGGGGTGAAAGATGAAGTCCAGGGGTAGGTTTGCCTTGGTTTCTTTTCCTGTTGCTGTGATAAACTGCTCTGACTGAAGAAGTTATGGGAGAGCAGGTATATTCTGGCTCACAGAATGATGGCTTATGGTCCATCACTGTGGGAAGTCCCAGCCTCAGGAGTTGGAGACAGACAGGTGTTCACCTGGCATCTGCAGCGCAGAAACAGAGCAGCTGAGGCTGATGCTCAGCTCCCTCCTTTTCATTGAGTCAGGACTCAGACATGCTGCTGCCCATGGTGGTGAGGTGGTGTTACCGCCTCAAGTAATGAGGATAAAGACCCATAGATAGGCCTAAAGGCCTGCCTCCCCGGATTCTTGGTTCTGGCAGGTTGACAAGTTGTTACAATAGCCAGCACCACTTGTATGTTTAGGACCTCAGGCACTGTTGCAGTGCTTGCTCTAGAGTGAGGCTATCCTGTGAAGCTGGGAGCCTTTTCTAGGAGGCATTTCTTCATCACCTCTGTTTCTTTAAAAAATATTTACTTATTATGTGTATGTTTGTGTACACGGGCATGCACACATGCAGAAGTGCTCATGTCATGGTGGGAGGAGTTACTTCTTGTCTTCACCTTGTGGGTTCTGTAGATCAAGCTCAGGTCATCAGGCTTGGCAGCAAGCTCCCTACTTCTAAGCCCTCATACCCCCCAGCTATCTCTGTTCTATCACTAGTACTCTAGGCTTTGGCTCCCAGGGCATCAGTTTTGTTCATTAAACCATGAGTCAGGAATTGGTGTAGGCTGTAGTTTGACAGGTCGAAATATCACCATGTCTATTTGTGGAAATGAAATTACAATCCGTTTAGGAGGAGCTGGAGAGATGGCTCAGAGGTTAAGAACACTGGTTATTCTTGCAGAAGACCCAGGTTTGAATCCTAACACCCACATGGCAGCTAACAACTGTCTAACTCCAGTCCCAGGGGATCCGTCAGCCTCTTCTGACCTCCTCAGACATCACAGGACACAGGAGCACTTACCTACATGCAGGCAATACACGAATACACATAAAAATTTTTTTAATTAATAAATTTTTTAAGTTAAAAAATCCATTTGGGGCTGGTTGTTCTTGC